TTAGAAGATAATGATGAGACCCAGGAGAGGTTGCAACTGCGACCCGATCTTGATAAGATAAGCTTTCAAGGAGGCAAGGGTAATGGCATAATGGGGCCTAGTCATCTCATTGTGAGGAAACTTAAGTATTAGTCCTTAAATTACTCCAATTGACCTAAGTTGGCTAAGTTCTTATTCAAGAATTACTGATTGACTTAAAACCTATTATCATTAAAAATGTGTAACGCTACCATACCATTTCAGTAAGTTTAACATACATTTCCAATAAACCATTTCTCTTTAGATCAATGAAAGAAATTTCATATACATTTAAAAAAATTTTTCTGAAAAGTTATGACAAAGATTGTATGGAATATTTCGGCCTCAAATTATATCACTCCAGTTACGATCTCTAACTTTTCGGCATCCGAGAGTATTTAAAAAGAAGGCCATTATGTGCGAGCGTGTGTGTGTGCAGCTACATTCATTTACAAAGCTTCTTTCAAATCAATTCGGTCTAAAGAGTGCAATTAATTTAAGCTGGGCTCTTGCTCAAAAAAAGGCACTTGTTTTTTGACCTGGCATTCAAGGACAATTAAATATGATAATAACGACAATCTTCCAAACATGTGGAGTAAAGGACTCATATAGATATAGTTAAAAAAAGTGAATCGCCCTGATCTAATGATGCATCGATTGATTATGAAAAGCTTAAAAGAGTACACAACTAATTTTGAGAGCCAATAAGAGGTCTACAAGATTCCCAATGAAAAGTAAAACTAGACTACTACAAGATTATAAGAATGACCACATATCAAGGTGTCATCATAAAAGATCCCTTCAATAGAGACTATAAAGATGAATAGAAGAATAGCGCAAGCAAAGCCAAATACTAAGCATTACATTAATTAATAAGTATCAAGAACGAAATAATATATATATCAGTTTTGATAATCTCAATAAACTACATACCTTTTGATCTACATTTGGGGGGGATTTCAAAGTTTCTATTTGGAGTAATTGTGATTGTACTGATCTACATTCCTTGATAGCTGCCCAGGCCGTTAATAAGGCATCATGTAGAGCTGGAACTTGCGAACGACGAAGCCTGGCGAACGGGAGCCCAGCCACCAAATCGAAACCGACCTCATCATTATCATCGCTAAGGTATACAAGCCGTGCTTTGTCTTTCTCAGCTTTATTCACCGAAGTATTTGCTGCTGACTCGTCTTGAGAACAGGGTTCCGCGCTTTGCCTAATATTTTTACTAGAAAACCTTCCAATAGGGATATCATTGTGGGCATCGGATGAAGAAGGTGGAAGCAGAAGTAGGTTAAGCAAGTCTGGTCCAGGGGATACAGAGGCTTCAAGTGGCGGAAATCGGCGTAAACTAGTAGATTGTTCAAGAGTTTTAGGTTCCCCAATGGAATTGGACTGTAAAAGAATTTCACTCGTGAGATGTATGTGATGTTCAGCATATGCATCTACGAACGCAGT